TATGTATGTATGTATGTATGTATGTATGTATGTATGTATGTATGTATGTATGTATGTATGTATGTACATACACACACACATACATACACACATACATACATACATACATACATACATACATATGCCAAATACCACTTACTCATAAGTGGTATATACACATAAACCTTCTAGAACAATCAGTCTTCTAAGAGCAAGAGAGCAAAAACTCTATGCTGCAGCTCCATTTCCTCCATTTCTAATATCCATGTGCTTTCTTTGAAAGACTGAAAAGGAAATAAAACTATGTTAGTTGAAATATAGTTAAGGAGATATGCAATCAGGAACCAAGAAAAGAGAAACTCCAATCCTTAATGGACCAATGTCCAGAATGTATATGTAAATCTACATTTCAGATTTCTAAAGAGGTTGGAGGTGAAGCATGCCACTTGTTAACTTTTACACATTTTGTACATCTGCATGGTGCTAAAAATAATACCAACAGCATAAAAACAGTATAATGTATTAAAACATTCATGTAAACTATGATGACTAGGAATCCTTCTTCCAGTACAATTGGCAACCACCAGTCTAGGGTAGGTTGTGGTATTTCAAGAATTCCATTAAAAAGTGATAAACACTGTTATAGACTTTTTATGTGCAACAGGTAGGGAAAAGCACTCAAGGTTTATCAATTTGATAATTATAAAAAATGGAATAACCAAAAAATGTGAGCCTTTTTGTACTCATAGAGCAAGAGTTTATATTGTAATTGTATTTAAATTTGAAAATTTAAAATTTGAAACTTCAATTTCTTTGCTTCCTTCCTTTCTTCCTTCCTCCCTCCCTTCCTTATTTATTTCTCTATTAGTATTTATTTTATATTCTTTATAAAACATTTAATAAAATGTATATATAAAATGATATACATTTCAAAAGTATAAGAAAGTACAGAACCCTCTAATCCATTGCAATGAAAATTTTTCTTCTTTTTATTACAGAATGACAAATAAAAATCATTTTCCATCCTTTCTCAAAAGAAGCCCATTGGAAATGTATTTATCTCGAAGCAGAATTTTGGATTGAAACTGGAACCATGTTCAGTGTTCACATCAATGGATGGAGTTTCAAGAAAAGGTCTAATAAGAACCCTTGCTTGATCAGTGCTATCTATCATCTTTGTGTTTCTGTTCTGTCACACAAATTTTCATCGTATTCCTTGCCCATCCAAGAGGCATCAGAAAATTATGTTGCCCTAAAGCTAGCTGTTACAAGTTTTAACATGTACAATTAAAAAATTTACAGTTTACAATTTCTAGTTCCCTTCACTGAAATTCTAATCCTGCATATGAAATACCCTCCTCCAATTGCCATGCACAATGCTGCTGTTATTCCACATGCTGCATTTTTTTTCTTTTGATTCTACCATCAATTGACTGAACTTTTTAATCTTTGAAAACATAAGTTGATTGTTTAAATCCAAGACACTGAAAAAAGTTAGATTTTTTTAAAATCTGTTGGTTGGTATCTAATGAACATCTGCATTTGTGCATTAAATATCTGGTCAGAAGATACGTGCTGCTTAAGAGCTGGAGTTTCAGAAAGGGGTTTAACTATGAGGACTTGGTATGGGAATAATAAAGCATCCTAAAAATATAACACCAGGAGTCAAAGTCTTGCATGATACTGATTGCAGCAGCCACCAGCAATTCTGTTTAGACAGGAGAGAGAACCACAAGAGCTAAGTTCAATTGTGCGTTCAATTGCATATGCTAAGAAATCAAAGGTTTACCAATTTAATTCTCTCGGAAGTTCTAAGTTCAGCAATAGTATACATTACCCTAATAAGTAATTCACAGGACTTCGACCCATAAGGTACAATATGTCTTTGAATATGGAGTTTTGTTTCCAAGACTGGAATTACATTGTTGGTTGAATACCTAGTAGCCTCCTATTGAATTACAATAGGTAATTTTGGCTAGACATACATAACATTTTCCTTTCTGTATGCCACCCAGAGTAATTTGGGGAAAGGGCAGTCTTTTAAATAAAACAGAGTAAAATAAAATAAAATAGAGTTGGTGTGACATGTGAATTGAACTGGCTTGATATGGACAGATATGAATCCTCCCAATATCATTCTATTCCATTCTCACTGTCCCCTACCAAAAAGTGTGTTCCCTCCTTAGATATTTCCTGCTATTGAAAAGAAAAAAGAAAAAGATTAAACACGAAATTAAAGGGGGACCACCTGTTCACCATAGTGGTCTGTATTTTTATAAAATGCTGAAAGGGAATTGCACAATAAAAAGCATTTTATTTAAAACATTTGTATAACTGCCAATTTTAACTTCAACGTCTAGGCAGCTTACACCTTGAAGTATCATCAGCACTATCTGGCAATGCCTATCCCTATGCAGATATTAGCAGATCTCAAGTTGTTACTTCTGGTATGGCCTTTAGGGTTTACCCTCTTCCCATCATACACCTAAATCTTTTGAGCATGAACAAAGATAGAACAAATCAGAAGCAAACACTTCAAGCTGCTTTTTCCTTAGACATTTGCATTCAACGTATCCAGCTTTTTAAAAAGCATAGAGTGTTCTCTGTAAGGAGCCATATCAAAAAGGGTCATTGTTCTGAAGATTAATACAAAAATTCTGGTCATTTTTAAGGATTAGGCGTTCATCAGAACTATTAACCAAAATGCAATTTATGGTATACCTACAATATTGATAAAGCCAAGTACAATTGTAATTCTGGGACTTTTTCTAGGCTTGTTAGGAGAAACTTTGGGGTAAGGATTTTTATTTCACCATGAATCTTTATTCTTTGCAGTTTATATCTGGTTGATTGATGCATGCAACTTTAAAGATAATTTTGGAACATATAATTAGAAGGTGATCTTTGGCACAATTCAACAAAGATGGAAGAAGGGGGATTAGGAATAAATATTCCAGTGAACTGCAGGTTAGTTTCATGAGCTAATTACAGTAGTTTCTTTGTGCTTATCTACAAATAAGATTTTTTTTTGGGGGGGGGTCTGTACAAATGTCAGCAAGATCCTGATGCATGAAATATTTAATTTATAAAAGAAATTACTTTAAAGTATAGGAAAGATTAAGTCTCTGTATTTTCAAATTTTTAATTACACAGCTTGTTGGAGTGGGAATTGATGAATTCACATTTAAAAACTGGGTTAGATGTTATGTAGGCAATTTATCATGATCCAACATTTCTTAATACTGTATAGCTACATACTTTTGCAAAGAAGAGGATGACGTGGTGCAGAGACTAATGACGCTAGAACTACCAGCCAGAAATAGTCCGCATTCAGGTGTTTTGAACCCAGCCTCACAAGATGGCTCAATAATTAATCAATTCCTAGCTCCTGCCCACTGAGTAGTTCGATAGCATCCAACATTGCAAGTAGATAGATGGGTACCACTTTGGCAGGAAAAACCTAGCTGTATTTGTATGTGTAGAGGGCAGAAACCGATGCTAGACCTGACTGGACATGAGGCATTGCAACATGATTCAAGGCGAGACAACACCAGCGGAGGAGCCCAGAACAGCCTGCAATTAGTTAGCTGATATAAAGCTAGTTCACCCCCTGCAGTGCACCAAGGATAGGTGCATAAGAGCTGAACAGAATGAACTAGCGTTCTAGGCTTTCTTTCTAGGCATTGTGTGTCTAGAATGTGTAGAGTTCCCTGACATTGTATTCCATAGGTTAAATAAATAAATTAGCAACAGAGTGAATCTTTAATTAGTTACTATAAAGACTTCAATTGTTGGTTATCTCTATAATCATTATACTTTATTGATATCAGGTATATAGATATCAGATATTAGATCATATCAAATTCCTTAGCTGGGATACATAGAAATAATCGTGTCTTTAACCTTTTGCTGCACTAAGCAACTTTAAATTTGATTTAAAAAAATTCAATGGAACATATTACTAGAAATCATCCCAATGTGAAGTAGCTTCATTTACTAACGTAGATGTCACAGGCTAATGTCATTATTCTATAATTGTAAAACTTTTAATCCTAATTTAATTTTAAATTTTAATGTTATTTTTATTTATCAGTTATATTATATTGTACATTGCCCAGAGCTACTCTTTGAGGGACATGGGTGCTTTAAAAATATGAAATATGAATAAACAAGCAAGCAAGCAAATTACAGTTCCCAGAGTCTCAAGGTAGCATGGTAAATGCTAATCCTGTTAACAGCTACAAAGGTTTTATCCAATGTATTTAGAGGGTGTCAACTTTTAGAGCAAAAAAAACTGTCTCAGAAAAATTGGTTGCTTGCTTCATAAGGTAGAAAAAAATTGCATTTACAATTTAGGAAGACAATTTCATTCATGACTGTGTTCCAGCAGGGTCACATTCACAGTTGACTGCATTTTTTGATAAATAGCCTAAAAACAAATGCTAAAGTCCCTGTTCTGATTAGAAAGCCTTGACTTTTTCAGGAAGAAAATGTATGTATGTATGTTTGTTTGTATGTATGTACGTATATATTTATGATTATATGGGTGAATCTGTAAAAGATTAATATCACCAATGAAACAAATATGAGACACTGAAATCTTCAAGCATAACAGAGTCAAGGCAAAATCCTGTAGGCAGCTATTTGTTTTTAGTCACCCTTGGGCACTTGTTCTTTTTGGGGAAGAATTCTCACCACAGAATGTCCTGGTCTTTTATTTCCTGCAAGAAAATGTAATATAATAATGGATTTTAAATGTGAGATCTATTACTCTTCCGGAATATTTAGATGAGAATACAATGCTAGTCTTTGTATTTAAATTGAAACCACTATAAGAACACAAGGGGAGGAAATACATGAATTGTTAATTATGGAAGGTTTCTTCAGTTTACATTTAATGGAAAGGTAGCTTACTTTCTATCATTTGGCGAGGAGGTGATGGGTGAACTCTGCCAGCTCTGTTCCTGAGCAAAATCAAACTGCTAGAATTTTTCATCCTCGACTCAAGGTTGACTCAGCCTTCCATCCTTCTGAGTTCAGTCAAATGAGAACCCAGATTGTTGGGGGCAATATGCTGACTCTGTAAACTGCTTAGAGCGTGCTGTAAAGCACTGTGAAATGGTGTATAAGTCTAAGTGTTATTGCTATTTCCAAAGGATGTCACCAGATAAATTGTCCTGCTTCTATTAATTTTCATGTAATTTTATGAAAGAGAATTTGCTTTTGAAATTTCTGTTAAAGAAAAAGAGATTTTTGAGAAAATTACATGGTATTTTTTCATTTATTTGATTATAAGGTATAAGGTTAAGGGATGTGTATGTGTGCAAATTTCCAATTTTTATTCTACAGTCATTTGTGGAATCTTTGTGTGTTCAAAGCTTGGTTGTTTGTTTGAAGATATTGCATTACTTGACTAGATAACCAATTTCATTGTATTTACATTTACATTTACATTTTATTGAGATTTATAGGCCGCCCTTCTCCCTGAGGGGACTCAGGGCGGCTTACAATCACAAGGGGAGGGGGTGCAGTACCAAGACAAACAATAGTGAACAAGATAAAATGATAAACACAACATGCATTCAACAGTCAGCACTCGGGCGGGTAAATTAGAAACTATCCCCAGGCCTGCTGGGAGAGCCAGGTCTTGAGGGCTGTGCGGAAGGTCTGGATGGTGGTGAGGGTACGAATCTCAACGGGGAGCTCGTTCCACAGGGTCGGAGCTGCAACAGAAAAGGCTCTCCTCCGTGTAGTCGCCAGTCGACATTGACTGGCGGATGGAATTCGGAGGAGGCCCAGCCTGTGCGATCTAATCGGTCGGAGGGAGGTGATCGGCAGAAGGCGGTCTCTCAAATAACCAGATCCACTACCATGGAGTGCTTTAAAGGTGGTCATCAATACCCTGAAGCGCACCCGGAGACCTACAGGTAGCCAGTGCAGCTCGCGGAGGATAGGTGTAATGTGGGCGAACCGCGGTGCGCCCACTATCACTCGCGCGGCTGCATTCTGGACTAACTGCAGTCGCCGGATGCTCTTCAAGGGCAACCCCATGTAGAGCCCATTGCAGTATTCCAGCCTAGAGATCACAAGGGCTCGAGTGACTGTTGCGAGAGCCTCCCGGTTCAGGTAGGGCCGTAACTGGCGGACCAGGCGAACCTGGGCAAATGCCCCCCTGGTCACAGCCGACAGCTGATGATCGAAAGTCAGCTGTGAATCCAGGAGGACTCCTAAGTTACGGACCCTGTCTGAGGGGTATAAAATTTGACCCCCCAGCCTGAGTGTTGGAGTGTCGGCCAAATTATTGGGAGGGAAGCACAACAGCCACTCGGTCTTGTCCGAGTACAATCACAATAAAGATTATACTTAGATAATATAATCAGTGTGAATGAGTGTGGGACTTGCTGCCTGTCTGCATAAAACAAATTGCCCTACTATTTTAGTGGGGATGTGGTTCATTAGAGTATTGTTTTCTGCTTGATTGTTTGGCTAGAGTGAATCCCTGTTTATTTGGAGATGATGTCTGATCTTTTTTTCCTTCTTAGGTTTTTTTTAGCTGTTTCTTTTAATTTGTGTGTAAATGTGCTTTATCTCCATGTATTTATTGATTGCTGATTTGTCTGATTACCAAGTTTCCAAGAATTCCCTAGATTTTTTCTTATTTAATTTGGCCTAGGATATTCAGCATTTCCCACTTCAAATTATGGTTGATTCTATCTATGTGTTGTAAGAGTAAGGAAGTGAGTAAGGAATTTTCATCCTGTCTTTTGACTACTAGTTAGTGCTCATGATGCACTCTACTTGTATCTATCTGTCTGTTCTACATAGTGGTTCTTATAGTCCTTATACTGTATACCTGAGAGTGGTATTTTTATAGAGACTTAAGTTTCTAATTTGCTGATGTTTCCTCAGCTGATGACGATATCCAGAAAGAGTACTGTATTATTATCTTCTTCCTTTTTCAATTTTATTTCTTTGAAGATGTTTTGGGTTGTTTCATATGTCTATCAAACTGAAAGGAGGTAGTGAGACAGAAAATGTAAAATAGATAATGAAACAGAGATTGATGAGGTCCATGATTCTAGGTATTTCAATCTAGTGTATTGGGGCTAGATCAAGTGTGTTGTGTTGTACTGCTGCTATAGATTCTTTCATTAATTCTGGATCTATGGGTAAAAAGAATGCTGTGATACCTAATGAAAACATAATCTGAACTACTTCTACTTTTAAGTCTTTGGAAGCATTATAGTGGGGAGTTGATAGAATATTCTCTCCCCTCTGTGACATATCCTCAAAGCTTTTTTGTAAGTTCTTTGGCTTACAAAGGACAAGCTATTGTATATAAACAGAGAGCAAACTCCACACTTACTATGGTGATGTTACTTCATTGGATAATGAAACATCTGCAAGCAAATGTTGTAGCAAACAATCAAACATTGAGAGCACCAAGGGTTCCACAGTACAGTCCTGAGCTACTTATATTTTCTTCTACTATATGGGATCTGCGGTCATCTGGTTAGTGGTTTCCTATTCCTCAATTAAATCCTCAAAAATTATGATTGAACCTTTTCCACTGGATTTTTTTTCCCAGGTTGGGAAACATGAACCAGCTAGGAAGACTTAAATGATTGGAAGACACATAATCAAAAACTGAAATACCAGCGGTATCATCCTCTTTCGATTCTAACAATAAAATATGTTTAAAAACCCAACCAAGAAAGGTTTTTTTAAAAAAATTCAACCACCCTGAGAATAAGGCAGAAACCTAGAAGCCTCTTCCTTTTGGGATGCTTTTTTTTTTTTTTTTTTTGAGAAATTCAAAGCAGATTTCAGTGCAATGTGATTATTAAACAAAGCTTTTCAAAAAGGTGCTATGATAATAGCTGGTGCAGAACATAGCACAAATCAGACTAAGCTTTTACATCATATTAATTAAAAGAAAATCCTAGCAGTCTTCTGTTTATAAAGTA